CATTTAGGACTTTTAGTATACGTGTAGTACGTTTATCCGAAAGTGCCTTCCTAAGTATAACTGAATCATGTACCAAATTTCAAGATTCTCTAATTGATATTCAAAATATACTTATTTTAGTATATTATATTACTAATATCCAAAACCAAATTTCAATATTCTACCACAATTCATGCAATGAATTCAGAATGTCGTGCTCAAATATGTTCGCTTTGGAAGATAGGTTATCTTTACACAATTACAGCTATCTTCCTTCTAAAGTCTACTTTGATTCATTAACTACTAAAGTTAGTACATTTTAGTACCATTTGCACTTACAGAACTAATTTACAAATCTTACTCCTACATAAAGCACTCCTACAGCAATTCATAAAGATTCCAACTCCATTCGATTACTCAATCACCCCTATTCCGTATGTCGTTGTCGACGACGTTTCTCTTTCGACATCACTTCGCATCGACATCACTTCGACACTGATTTGGTATTCTGTAACACTCATGCGACGATGTCGACTATTTATGGTGTTTTTACACGATATGTATTTTACATATGTGCTGTCACTTTTTTACATATGGAAATCGAACTCGTCATGTAAAACATACGGAAATTTCAATGTGTCAAAACGATATGCAATTACATATGTATTTTTTCCGAATAGGACGAGCTCTATTTTCGTATGTGAAACATAAGGAAATCAGCTGTTTGAATGAAACACATTAGGTTCGTTCGTTTACTCAATAATTTGTACGAATTTGTACAAATTATTACAAAATGTTGTTCGTTTACCCAAAAGTCCAGAAAAAGAGAGTGAATTGAGAGAGCAGATTTGACAGTTGTGTTACTGAGTATTTGCAAATTCTTACAAGGAAAATTTACTCAGTAAGAATTTTGTTGTACCATCAGCTGATATTTAATCAGCTGTTTTGTTATGTTTTGCAAACAAACAAAAAATTGTTCTCAAGAAAATTGATTGTTTTGTGAATTTTATTTTGATTTTGTATCATTAAATACCAAAATGGATGAAGAAAACGCAAGTATTTAAAAATAAGGTAATACAAGAGTGATTGTCGAACGATTTTTTAGGTTCCAAATCCAAACAAAAAAGTGTGCATCCCTAACATGTCTGGAACACCATCGGTTATGTCCACCCCAATATCAATTGCAGATACAGGAATAACAGGTCACAACCCTTTTAAATGTTTGTGGGGAACAAACAACATCAGTTTTCCGCTTGTTATCCATTTTTCTAATAAAAATGCTGTTTTTAGTTCGCGCCATTTTGTTTGTTGTTTTAATCAGCTGTGTCGAAACAATCTTTTTACTGGATGTTGTTCGTTTACTTTTTGCAGTTTTCTCTCTTGAAAAGGAAAAAATCGTATTTACTCTCTGCAAATTCTTACTGAGTAAATATTACTGGGAAAGTAAACGAACGAACCTATTGTTGGAAGAAAATATTTCAATTGCAAGTCAAAGAAAAGGATGAAAAGGCAACAATTACAAATTATTATTTCGTTTGTAGGTGTTTAATAAACAAATGATGTTGATTTAAGAAAAAATAAAAGTGTTTTTTTTTTTGTTTATAGGTTATGTCATATGTAAAATACATATATCGATTTGAACACAAAAATAAATGTTTTGTGTACGCTGCTAATTTTGACACACATAAGGAATTACATATGGATGAAATAAGTTACAGCACATATGTAAAATACATATCGTGTAAAAACACCATTATCGATAATATCAATAAAAACAAAGACACATCTCTAAAAATGTGGTCAGCTGTTTATTTTGTTGCATATTTTTGGGCAAAAATGTGTTTGTATCCTTCACCGCACTGTGGCACAGGGCATTATGTCTTGGTATTTTTATTTCCACATAGACGAGTCCTTTGACATTGGTCAAAATCGGTTCAGATTTATATATAGATCGCATATAGTTTTCTTTTTTTACACTTTATTTTGCATTAAGTATTGAATAGATTCTAGAATGATGTATCCTTTTCTTGTCCGGTCATGTTTTTATTTTTAATTTCTAAAAAAAATGTTCAAACGCTTCAGTCGTCAACAAAAACTATGACGAAGAAATCTTTTTCTTTTAAGAAATTAAAAAAAAAAACATGACCGGACAAGGACAGAATACATCATTCTTGAATCTATACAATATGTAATGCAAAATAAAGTGTAAATAAAGAAAAATATATGGGATCTATATATAAATCTGAATTGATTTTTACCAATGTCAACATGAATCGTCTATGCACCAAATAAAAGTTTCATCCCAATTGGATGCAATTTTCCAAATTTCATCCCGTTCGGATCATAATGGTGGCATGTAACTTGTTTAACCCTTTGTGGCCCAATGTTGCCAACAGGCAACAAAATGTTTTAGAGCTTATATTTCATATGTAGCTAGTAGATATACTATATTCTTTGTATTTCATACGTCAAGACCTGATTATCGACGACACATATCAAAAGAAAAATCAAAAAAATTCAAATTTTTGGTAAAGTTATGAGCTTTTCAATGTAGAGAAGAGGGCAAAAATGTGTACAGTACTAATTTGTGTACACAGTCCAAATTATTTAAATAGCTTCGCATTCGAAATGTACAAATTCTGCCATCAGAATTATTTTTGATTCTTGTAAAATGAATATAGAGAATAATTTAAAATGATTTTTTTTCGTCGGTTTTTCATTTGGTTTTCTTGATATTGGGCTTTCATTTTTCAGAAAGAATGTACTGTATCTACCGAATGCAAGGATGTAGCGATCTCAAATTTTGTCCATATCCTATCTAGGATAGATGCATTAAATCTGTGAACAGAAAATTGTTCTATGATTACGGAAAAAAATTCGGGGCTCAAGGGGTTAAAATAATACATGGATGGAGGGATATGCATAAATCGACTGAAAAATAATTCTATGTACATGTATACTAAAAAGTAACTATGGGTCTATCTCGTTTCTTTTTGGTCGTTGCAAACACATTTACCAAGACATAATGCCCTGTGCCACAGTGCGGTGAAGGATACAAACACATTTTTGCCCAAATACAACAAAATAAACAGCTGACCACATTTTTAGAGATGTGTTTTTTTGTTTTTATTGATATTATCGATAAATAGTCGACATCGTCGCATGAGTGTTATGCCATGTTCTGACGGGCATCCGAACAACGTAGTTTGCTCTCAGAATTACGTACATGAATTAACCCGTTCATACAACACTATTCATAATTCATATCATCAGAGTTTTTTATTTCAAACTTTTTGTTTCTTGTTTTACAACAAAAATGTAACATATTTTAGTGAATTACATAGGGATCTAAATAGAAAAAATAATTCTCTTTCTCCTGACTATAGTTTGAACCCATATCTATTTACTTTTCATTCATGTTTTCCATTTTTTCTGAAAATGTTGTTGTTTTTAATACATTTTTATATTTTCTCAATTCAAATGTCACATACTGTCACAAATAAAAATTTGGAGAATTTTTTGTTTGAGTTGCCCCACATTTGTTTCTTGTTTTGTACGCTAATTAGAACCAAGGGAAAAGAAATGCATATTGCATTATGTAGAAAACAAAATTTACATCCTGTTGCATATATAAAAACTATACAATTTTTTATTTTTCATTCATGATTTTCAATTTTACTGAAAAAGTTTGAAAATTTCATAAATATTTTCAAACTGTCAAAATTAATTTATTTTCGATAAATACTCTCAATTGTTAGGGATGGGACAAATTTATTGGTTATTCAGAGAGCCATTCGAATTGAACAACGTACAAAAGTCGGTGTTCGCTCAGACAATTTTGTATGGGGAACTAAGTAATTCCTTCATAATTAAGGGTCGAACAACGAATGAGAAAGCGAACAACGCTCGTCTGCACATGGTATTACAGAATACCAAATCAGTGTCGAAGTGATGTCGATGTCGATGCGAAGTGATGTCGAAAGAGAAACGTCGTCGACAACGACGACGACATACGGAATAGGGGTGAATAGTTATCGATAAATGTCGACAACGACATAGGGAATACCAATTTGCAAAAGACGACTCTCTTCGACGTCGTTTCGTGTCGACGACGACATACAGAATGGGGGTGAATAACAACTAATTTATTAATTTGAGCAATGTTTAGTACGTTTTGTTCATTTATGGCACATAAAAGATGTTGTAAATTAGCATACAAATTATTTCGTACCCATACTTTTATCTAAATGTAAACATTATATAAATTTTCCATTTGCTGGAAACCTCCAACAAAATTCAGGTTTCCAACTCACATTGCAGAAAAACGTGAATGTGGGATCGAGATTATAACGAGATATGCTCGTATGGTTCTCCCGCCAAATTTTTACTAGTCCATCCGATATTTTTATATTGAATTTGGGCTTATACTTAAAAACAACGGACGGTAACAGAAGTTATCGTCCTTATTTTGGTACCTTTCAAAAAAAAAAAAAAACGATCTGTATTTGCTTATTATACCGCTATGTTTTTCTGAAAGTATTCCGACATTAAAATTAAATTTTCTGTTTGAGGTGTAACACGAATTCCAAAGTCAGTGGTATGCCACTTACAGAAGGATCGATGCGGCTTTGACGACGTAGAAATGAACAGTGACTTCTTACAAACTTGGAAGGGGCATATTGTATTGTAGAAACACTGCACTTCTTTATTCTTGCAATCTCCTGCAAATATTAGCCATCAATGTGCAGTTCTATTAAATTTTCTTCGTCCGAAAGTTCACTTCATTTTCTACCTATATCGAGTTTCTCGAACTTTTTTGTAAAAGTTGCACTCGAATTTTTTTGTACAAGGGGAAGCAAAGAAATAAAATATCGTTAATTACAACATTAACATTGCGTTGCCATCTGACTGAATACGAGTTTCATAAACAATAAAGTGCAAACATGGCAAAAGTGTATTATTAGAGTTTGTATAACTGATGTAGCTCCATATTTTGTATGGTATTTTATAATATTACGTACCTAATATCACCTTTTTCTGTTATCCTGTGAACAGTGCCTGTTTTTTTTATGTGCTCCATCATTCGTGGATTCCATCCGCCATGACCTTGTTGTAGCTTTATAAGGGCATCCACATCTACACATACTTTTACACGATCACCAACCGAAAACATAGGTTTTACTGTCGAAACGACGGGCTGTTGCTCTTCTATTTGGCCTAAATGAAAAAAAAGTATATATATTTAAATAAGTTTATACAACATAATTTCAATAAATACGCAATACTTTTCAGACAATTCTCCCTCTTATCTTTTATTTTTTTGTTTTTTTTTTTTCATTTAGATATGAGTTTTTCAAAACATTTTCAATGTATTTTCACGAGAAAATTTAAAGTCAAACAACATAAAACGTGAGGTGCACATACAAAATATAAAATATCGGTCGAGACCCTGATATTATGTTTACACACCAAGAGTATGGTTATCTTAAAAACTGAGGCGCATTCTATCATTTTTGTTTGTCAAATTTACCGCCGGTTTAGAACATGGATTTTAATTTGGAAAATTTTAGTTTATCTGGAATATAAAAAAACAGATCGCGGGTATTCATTTCAATAAAATTAAAGATATAAAAATTACAGAAATTATAGATCTAAAGTAATACGTATATACTCATCAAGAACTGGTGATTATTGGATTAGTTGTCAATACACATATACAGTGATGACCATATCATGTGAAAATAAAATTCACTACGTAAAATATGTTGTAATATTTTTATTTAAAGTAGTGTTGGCGGTTTATTTGGGATATCATTTATATTTTGTTTTTGCAAAATAGTCAGGCTGAATCCCAGTTTGTTGTTTTTATAAAAACAAGTATTTATTAGAGGGGAATGCATGACATTGTTCGCCGAGGTGTGAGGCAGGGAAGACTATAGTTTCGGATCTCGCCACTGATCCTCATCATTTCCCTTAGTTTTTTGTTGGGATATTCTCCCCAGAAGCTATTTATTGCTTCTTTACAAAAAACCTTTCATATCCAAATGCCTCTTGTAACAAAGCGAAGTTCTTTGCTAACGAACGAAATAAACTGCATGGTGCCTCACTTCGAGGTTAACAAGGCATTTACAAACAATACAATACTAAGAGAGTTGTCTGAAGTTCAATATCACGAATAGTAAATAAGTAAGTTTTGATTGCCATTCGACGAGGAAGTCCACGGTACAAATACCAACGTACAGATAATTTGTTCATGCATATGGTCGAAAACAATCATGTTCAAATGGAAACGATATTATTCAGTAGGAATTAACATTTTTTAATTTAAATGATCTCTTGGGATTTTTTACCGAAAATATGAGATAAGAGCAATCGCATTTTTCACAGAACAGGTTTCTTGTAATCAGGTCTATTCTTGACGTGTACTCAAACTTCGGGCAGCTGCTGTCATTTAAATGTATAGCAATCAAAAATTTCCTCGAAATTTAAAATCAATTGATGTAACTGGGACATATTTACTGAGCAAATGTTCTCAATAAGTATTTGTAAATTCACAGTAACACAACTGCTAAATCTGCTTTCTTAAGGGAACCCCCTCATTCTCGATTTTAATTTTTCAAGATTTTCAATGGGCTGGTAAATCAATACCAATGCTTGTTAAGGTTTGTAACTTTGCAGATATGCATTTCAAGATTTAAAAGAGAAGAAAAATAATTTACAAAAAAATGGTGTGATTGTTTTGTTGAGGTTTTTTTGTAACTAAAGAGAAGTCCTTATTTTTGATGGCGGGCATGATAACTCCTCACTGGAACATCAGAATCCGAAAATTCCAACGGTGTTAGAAAGAGTACATGTCTGGCTCTTGTATGAACTAGGATTATTGACTTCGCTCTAAAATTAACAAAATGGCGGAACGTTGAAAAAATATTTTTGGAAAATCGCCGATTTTTGACCATCAAACCAAGTTAAAAAATATGGAAGATCCTCACCGATTGGCTTTATCGTAGTACATACAATAGCTATACACTCTCAGAGAAACGTGTAAAAATTTGGAATCGATTGGGTTATTAGTTTTTGAGTTATCGTGCCCACCATTCGCAAAAGAGAAAAACGCGTTTAAAGTTTGAGAAGCCCTTTAGCCGTCACTTGATGCTGACACAATAAATCGGCTATATCTTCAAGAGTTCTTAATATTCGAATTAAATGAAAAACATTTTTGACCCCGATCATGGGGGGTCCTCTTAATTCAATATTTTATTGAACTTTTTCGTGAACGAACAACAGCCAGTAAAAACGTCTACATATTACAAGTGTAACCAGTAAAGTTTTTCTATTTGAATTAATTAATCAAAAAAACAGGTGTTGTTATATTCATTTGCTTTGATATAACACCTTCCCAACATTCCATATTTTAAAAGCGAGTGGTAGAAGCTAAGCAAGAATAATTATATTCAAAAATAATTTTATAATTATTATATATTTAAAATTAATAGATGCAGATTTTTTGTTTATAGTTTCTTAACAATTAAAAATATAAACGGACCGGGCCGACCATATGATGCCCTACACAACTTCCACGACATTTTAACTTTCTGTGGTTCTATATTCTGAGCATGGGCAATATTTCACGATATTTGTATCCTCTTGACCGAATAGAGAAAATTCATGGTAAAATTTCAAAGCGATCAGCGCTATATTTTCGACCTCTGGTGTGGCAATGGGTTACTAAATAATATCTGAATACGTAAGCACTTGTAAATATTTAAGTGTTACTCCCACATTCGAGTAGATAGGACAATATAATTGGTATCAATTTAAAGGTCAATCACTCCTCTTGGCTATAATATCAACTTCTTGGGTCTATGTCCATCAAGGGTAAATATATACGCTATAGAATACAATTTTATTAATTTTTACACAAAAGTCAGAGTCCCGCTAAATATTGACCAATCCTTATCATGTAAAATTTCGCGATGTTCGGGCCATAATTGCGATCTCTGAAGCGACCAGAAAAACGGACAACAATTAAGTATTTGGCCCATTTCATCCCCTAAATATTAACCGATGGACAGACGGACGGACATACATGTCTAGATCGACTCAGCTAGTCGAGATATGACGATCTTTATACTTAAAGGTGGGTCTAGGATGAATATTTCGCTGCGTTACCAACTCTGGGGGCTGCACAAAGCTATAATACCCTGACAACATAGTTGTGTAGGGTATATAAACGAACAATAAATGTAGCTATTAATAAAAAAATTAAAATAAGTTACAATAAATTATATACTATTACAATAAATTATATACTATTATTATTATTAAACTTATATATATATATATACTAGCAGACCCGGCAAACGTTGTTTTGCCCTATCAGAATTGCATCAATCTAGGTTTTGTAAAAATTAACGAATTCATGAAAAATATATTTCAGAAACTGTTTACCATTTAATTTATGTCAAATTTCCAATAAAAAAAGGTTTACCGTTGTGAGGAAAATATTATTTCCTTACAACTATTTATTAGTGGGGAATGTGTTGAGTAATATTATTATGGTTAACTATTGAATTATGTCAGTAGGTATGGTATTTCAGTTTATCAATTGGTGGAACTTATTCCACCAAACATAAGTGTTTAAGTATGAATCGCCTTTATATGCATTGTTGGGAAATGCATCCTTTGAACGCTCGTGTTCATTGTGTTTGTTTGCATACTCATTAGAAAACTGCATACTCCTTATTGTTACAACATTGAACTGTCAGTTTTCTAATGAGTATTGTTTTGCGCCAATGTCACTTGCAGCATTGTTGTTATTGTTATTATTCTTGGGCTTCTCGTCTCGATCGCTTCGTAACACAGGTAATCTCTCTATCTTCCCTTTTTATTATTTATTTTTTATATCAATAAAATTCAAAATCAGAAAACTAAAACGTTTGTGTTTTATTTTCTATATTTTTCGAAACGCAATTTCGGCGCCTTTACATTTTTGTCCTATCGAACCGGATTCGAGCTTTGAAATCGGAATTCTAATTGATTTTTATTTGTTTGCATTTCGACAAAATAAACAACAACATAACATCATCACCATCCCTATACATCATCATCACACATCATTATCATCATCAACAACAAATCAGGTAGGTGAGTGCAGTGTGTTTAAAAAAAATTGTGAGCTCGCGAAAAAAGAATAATAAACAAAAACCCAAAAAGTCTAAAATCCAAAATACCAAAAAAGTATAACTTTACAACAACAACAAAGGCCGCTTTACAACGCGTCGCGTATTCCTTTTTTCGTTTCTCACTTCTGTGTAATTATTATTGAACAGTGGAAACAAAAAACAAATAAATTTTGTTGCAAATATATATTGTGGTAATTGTGAGAAAAAATTGCTTAAAAAAGTGTTTTTTAATTAATGTAAGTGGTCAATATTATTAATAAAATTTAATTAACGTTCGTGTTAAATTTTGATAATTTTATTAATAACATCGACCTAATTTTAATAATAAATATTAAATTCCAAAATATTCGTTACCTATTACCACTGTGTTGTGCAAATAATAATAGAAAAATAAACGTGCTCTTTCCCTTTAATATTCGCATATATCCCTGTTCAATAATACACAATAATATACACGTATATACGCTAGCGACATATTTACGTTGTACGGTACACACACGCTAGACACATAACTAATATCGTAATAGGCAGCCGTCGCTTGCCTACGATAAACATATTTTTTTCGTTTTTCTTTTGTTTGCGTGTACGCTACACTAATCGGGTCGGTCGATTGTGGCGTGTTGGCACGTTTGGAACAAAGTAATATTTTTTTTGTAAATTGATTAGTAGTGTGTATGAACATATTGAAAGCTAATTTTAGACATTTTAACTTAACTTTACCCTACAGTCCGCATTGATCGAAATTCATATAATAATCATTTTTGGTATTATTTATATTGAATTTAATAAAAAATAATATAAATTTGATATATTTATATATATTTATATTTGTAAATCATTTATTTTGATTTAAATTTTCAAATTCACTGGAAATTTAGTAAATATTTTTAAACTTTTTCGCAATTTTGTGGATTTTTCGTTATTTTTTGTGGAAAATTAAGCTTTTTCGTATAGTTTATTGGCTATAATTTTGAAAATTTGATCGATTTGTTGCATAATCATTCGTTCCTTTTTGGTTTTTATTCAACCGTTTGT